CTGTGGTGGACCATGTGAGTGTCCAGTGCCATAACCACTACACCACCTGCTGCCCCCTTATGCATCATTTTTAAACACAATAATGCTCATGATTCATGGTGTTCCAGTTCGTAAAGAGGGAGGCAAGAAATTCGATGAACTGTAATGCCTGATTGAAGGATACTGGGAAAACAAGGGGAAAGAGCTTTTGTATCAGGCCACTGGTTAGGAAGTTTTGTGACCTGAGGATGGGAGAATATTAGCAACGAAGACTGCAAGGCCAACAAAGGAAAAGCACAGCAAATTTCCAATAATTTCTTTACATAGTAAGTGTGACTGCTGTCACACCGGATATGCGAGTGGGAAGTAATTCTGAGGTTATAGAAGTGGAAGCAATCTTTTGTTCAGGACTTATCCTGCAATGCTCGAGACAGTGACTGATGGGCCTGGTCCAATGAAGAAGCAAATTGCTTCACAGAACTGTATTTTAGTATCAGATCTCTCTCTCTCTCTTTTTTTTTTTTTGAGAGGTTTTTGCTATACGGTGCGTGTGCTCCCCAGAAAGACAGAGCGAGATAGAGACAGAAAGCAAGAAATCACCCCCCCTCGGGGGGGATGGCCATGCTGCAATCCCTTCTCCTCCATTCTCCTCTCAGGATCTTTGACACACACACACACACACACACACACGCACCTGGCGTGAGTTTAAGCCATTGGGTCCAGGACTTGAACTGTGGTCGACTACATGGGAGTCCAGTGATATAGTCATTATGCCAACTGCTGGTCCCAGGATCCCATCTCTTCACACCCTCTACAGCTGCATTAAGAGATGCTGTGTTAGCAAGAGCAGAAGTCACTTGGGCGCTTTGAGTGAAAAAAACCATTTTTTAAAATGTATATTTATCTAGTTCACTGAACTTCTTTAAGAGGAGAAAAGCTTGATTTGGGATCAACAGTTGGTACAATAAATATGTATTCAAGGTCTAAAGTGAACGGCTATCTGAAAGAATCAAATAAGCAAAAATTAAAATGGCCGATGTTCTCCATTGTTTGTGTATGTGGGGGTGTTTGGCATCATGGTCTAGGAGGCAGAAAGGGGAGGAGTGCTATTGCTTTAAGAAAAGGACAGCCTGTCATTAGCTCTGCTGGAGTCTAAGTGATGAAGAGGCCACCGACCCTGCCGTCACAGTCTAATGGAGGTGACAGATAAACAAGAATGATGCAACATAATACATTTATGATGGAGGCGTGTGTAGAGTGCCTTGCGAGTTTGGAGGAGGAATAGATTATCCTCTTGGTGAGTTTATAAATCGTTGCCGAACTGGTGATGTTAATGGGGCAGTAATTATATCCACACTCTCCCTAAGTCTCTAGAGGCTCATCACTCTCGAAATACCTTCTATAGGAAGACATTTTAACTTGGGTGCAGGTATAATAGGAAAATACATATGGCTTTGATTCTTAACCAGCTGAGCATCTCCCAAATGTCTGATAAATAATGTCTAGAATGACCAGGTCTTTGTGCAGAACGGTGCCAGCTGTGGTAGTGCTGGCAGTCAGGAAGAGGCGGGGACCTCTTCTGCTTTGCAATGAGCCACGCCCAGAAGTGCTATCATTTGTTATCTTGCTTTCAGAGTGTTTCAGAAATTTCCCCTACTCAAAATTTTGGAAAATTAAGATGGGATGAGGATGATCTCAAAGAGACTAAAACCTGTGAAGATTATTTAGTGCAGTTCTGGTTCCATAGCAACAGTCCTCAAACTTGGTGAATCAGCACAATTTCATGGGAATGTTTCTTCTTTTCTTTCTTCTCCTCCTCCTCCTCCTCTGCCTCTTCCTCCTCCTCCTTCTCCTCTATTTCTTCTCTTTCTTTTAGAGATTTTTGCTATAGGATGTATGTGTTCACCAGAGACACAGACAGAGAGAACAAAAGTGAGAAATCACCTTTCCCTCCAGGGAATAGCCATACTGCGATCTCTTCTCCTCCATTCTCCTCTTGGGATTTTGGACACTCACAAACACGTGCCACGCGTTTCAAGCTGCCGGGTCCAGGACTCTAAACCACGGCTGACCATGTGGGAGTTCAGTGCCACAACCACTATGCCACCTGCTGCCCCCTTGCTGTTTCTTTTTGAGCATCCCATGTGATTGTGATGAGAGGCCAGGTTTAGGAATTCTGACATAAAAACAGTGGATCTTTACCAGAGGCTTCCATTGTACCATCAGATGAACTTTAAGAATTCACCATTGCTCCAAAGCCACCTAGTTTTACCTTTGTAGGTATGGGATCAAGCAGAACTATTTGAAAATAGCTCCTTACTGATTTGGATGCATAATGATAGGAGAGACCCTCTGATCTATAGCAGTAGATCTTTTTCTTGTTTGTTTGTTTGTTTGTTTTTTGTATTATTTTATTTTATTTTTTTTAGAGGTTTTTGCTATAGGGCTCATGTGCTCACCAGAAAGACAGAGAGAGAGAGAGAGAGAGACAGAAAGCGAGAAATCCCCCCCCCCAGGGGGGATGGACATGCCACAATCCCTTCTCCTCCATTCTCCTCTCAGGATCTTGGGCATGCACGCACATGCGCCCAGTGTGAGTTTAAGCCACCGGGTCCAGGACTCGAACCACGGTTGACTACATGGGAGTCCAGCGACATAGCCATTGTGCTAACTGCTGGTCCCTACAGCAGTGGATCTTTCATACTACCTTGTCAATAAAAAAATTTTGAGTTGACATCCCCAATACATGAATGGTTCATTTATTTGTAATTTATATGTACGTATTTCTGTATGCTGTGCATACACAGACATTTTAAAATAGTGAAATTAAATGTTGTTGGCCTTCTAATATTTTAAACTCATTTTATCTCATTCCTCCATTGAGCCACTGAGTATCCCACTGTACAGATCACTCCAAGAAAGGATGAGGTTGGTGGTTCTCTAATGAAATTCAACTCCTATCCTGTTTCAAGTAGCTGAGAGCAGTCACCTCACTCGACTCCATACAAGATACTCCTACTCCATTCTTTAATTCACTCGTTCTTTTTATGTGTGTGTGTGTGTGTGTGTGTGCACGTATACACACACACACACACACACACACACACACACACACAGGGGATCCAAAACATTCATAGAAAAGTTGTAAAAAATGATTTTAAGTACAAGTTTATTTTGGTCCAAAAAATTTTAGTATTCATGCATTGTTTTTTCATAATATGCATTTTCTATAAACTTTCTGAACACCTCCCAGCTACACAAACACACGCACACATATGTACACATTCTTTATATACACATCATGTGTGTGTGTTCTCATTATGTGCACAGCATTGAATGAGAGGCTGGGGATAGAGTGGTGCATGAGATCCTTGTTATCGAGGAATCTATATTATACCAGCATAGACTGTACGGGAGCCATGTTTGATAATGATGTTCTTATCATTTTGATGGATGCTAAAAGGTGTGTATGTGTGCGTGTGTGTGTGTGTGTGTGTGTGTGTGAAGGATCTTCAGAAAGTTCACAGTAAATGCATATTATGAAAAAACTATGTATTTTAACTTTTTGGCATGAAAACATTTCATACTTTAATTCCATTTTCTGTCAACTTTTGGAAGTCTCCTCACATATGAATATGACCTCACCTGGAAGGTTTGAGAAATCTATAGTTTGCAAATGATATTTCAGCTGAACTCTGAAGGATGGATAGAAATGAGGTAAGCAAAGAGAATGGGGAAGAGGGTTCCAGGAGAAGGAAAAGCAGTTGAAAACCGGGAGACAGGAGGGTGTTTCAGATCTAGAATTCAGCATAAGAGGTACCCCTGTCACAAGATGGAAATGATGGTGTGAACAGAGACGGGATCTTGTAGACCTGCGGACCGCAGTAAAGAACTGTCTTTGTCTTGAGGGCCGGGGACTCTATGGAAGGGTTTGAAGGAGAGTGATGGGGCCAGATTTGTGTCTTGCGAAGATCGCCGAAAGTGCAGCACCATCTTGCTTGGATTTTACTAGAAACCTCTACTTTCATAGCTGCTCTCGGAATACACGTCTCTTTCCTACCTGTTCTGCAGACTCTTAGGCATCCTTCAAAAACTTAAGTCTGATATTATCACTGTCTTGGTGATTCCTTTCCTCCTTATTCTCTCTCTCTCACTTTATTTTTTATTATTTTTTAGAGAGAGAGGTTTTTGCCTTAGGGTGCCTGTGCTCACCAGAGACAGACAGACCCAGTGAGAGAGAAAGTGAGAAATCCCCCAAGGCGGATGGTTATGCCTCAATTCCTTCTTCTCCATTCTCTTCCCAGCATCTCAGGCATGCACTTACACGCTCCTGCTCCTGGCGTGATTTTCCAGCCACTAGGCCTAGACTCAAAATGCCCTCAGTCATGTGGGAGTCCAGGAATGTAACCACTGAGCCATCTGCTGGTCCCTCCTGTTCTGTCTTTTAAACTTCCACACCATTTAGAGATAACCTCTGTAATCGTACTTCGTATGTTTTATTACAACTTGTATGTTTAATCTTATTTTAGTAGAGGGCTGGGAGCAGGTGTAGAAATTAGAATTGTTAATAATTGCGGTCTTTGCTTTATGGCATTCCGTAATCTGTTTTCTTAGGTTTGTTCAAGGCATTTTATCACGTACTCATTCTTTCGCACTATCTACCTGGTTTCGTTTTTCTATTCTGAGTCTATTTTTATGTATTATGTATTTGGTTTTATTTTACTCTACACAGTGAGACAGTTTTAATGCCTCTTTTCATTTTCCCATGATTTGCACTGCCAACTTTGCCTTTGCTTGAGTGAGGATGCAAGGGGCTTGAGGACTGGAGGAAGGGGACTGCAGACCCTGTAGAAAGTGCTCATATCTGCCCGTCTCGCTCACACACAGGCACGCATGTGTGCTCTATTGTGACTAAAGAACAACTTCAAAATGAAAGGCTTCAGCCTGTTACCGCTGGTGCTCTCGTCCCCGGTGCGCTCCGCTGCACCTGTGCTGCTTCCTCGCCCGCGCAGCCACGGGTAGGCTGAGCTCCTTACTCCCCGGACTTCCTCTGTCACCTGCTCTCAGTGAGGACACACAGCATGAGATTAGGACGTGTCACGAACTCAGTGAGTGGCCCCGTGACTTCCCATAAGTAGCTGCATCTGTTTCTGACCCTTCCTCTCTATTCTGTCCCATTTGCCCATTTGAGTGTTCTCGCTCCAAATTGTTTTTATGGCACCAGCTTTGTAGTACACCTGCCTCTCCTTTGCTCTCCTTTCTCAGCATTGACCAAGTTATCTGTCGATTTTTATTGATTATGTTGATCAATAGATTATAGAGTCAGTTTTCAGAGATTTTCAGAAAACCCAACTAAAGTCTAAAATCTTAGTTCAGGTTAACTTCGGGAAGAATTGGTATTTCATGATGAAAAATGATCTTTCCCAAGAGTATAGAATGTCTCTGATTATTTGTCTCAGTTTTTATATTCTTTAGAAGTCTGAAAGTTTTCCATGAATTTTAAATTAAAACAACTTATTGACAATTTGCAGAAATTTTTATTCTGTTGTGAGTTAAATTTTATTTTTCAGTTCTAATTTTTAGTGAGTTTTTCTAGATGAGAGAAATGCTCTTAATTTTAATTTCTTTACTGTATGAAGAGGGTCTTCAAAGCACTCATGGAAGATGTGCAATTATGAAAAACTGTGCATGGGATTCAAACACTTTTTGCCTCAGAATAAACTCATGCTTTCATCTCTTTCTCCATGAACCTTTTGAAGTCCTCTCTACTATTTATTTCTCAAGAGCAGAAGCTGTATCTTTTGTCTTTATGTTGTCAGTATTTGAAACATCACATATTGGGTTGTTGGAAAAGTCATGATGCATTTTTGCATAGGAAAATAAAGAGGGACCAGCAGATGGCATAGAGGTTACATCTCTGCCCCGGCCAACCATGATTCAAGTCCTGGGCCAGGAGCTTGAGACTCATGCTGGGTGTGTGTGTGTATGCGTATCCAAGATCCCAAGAAGAGAACAGAGAAGAAGGGATAGTGGTATGACCATCTTCCCTGGAAGGTGATTTCTCACTTTCTGTCTCTTTGTCTCTGTCTCTTTGGTGAGCACATGTGCCCTATAGCAAAAATCTCTCTAAAAAAGAAAAAGAATAAGAAAACCAGAAAAAAAAATATATATTGTGATTTCTGAGAACCCCTTAGTACTGGCTACAGTTCTTTGTTGCATGAGTGAATGAAGGAGTAAAGTATGTTACATGAAGTAGTCTGCTCCAACATTTGCGTCCACACAGGGACTTCATGGCAGTATGCACAGGAGGTTCACTAAGCGCCAAGGGGGCAAGCAGTTGCTTCAGCGTGGTCTCCTGGGGTGTGATCGGTGAACTCCCCAAGGCGGCTCATTTAGTCTCAGATGTTCTCTCCTCCAGTGTTCCTTAGACCACATACAATTTTTGAACACTTTCTGATGTTGTTTATATTGATTATGGCTTCTCCTAGGCATACACTCTTGGCTCAAATGCACACAACATTTTGGAAACCTTCACTGTCAGACTCTGGTGGTCAGACTGAAATGCTTGACTTAGACCTTCACACCTTAATTCTGGTGCTTCCTGAAGTACCTACAGCATCGGTCACCTTCCTGCCCTTTCTCTGTCTCTCTCTCTTTTTCCTTAGAGATTTTGCTATAGGGCACATGTGCTTGATAGAGAGACAGAGACAGAAAGTGAGAAATCATCCCCCCGCCCCCAGACAGGATGACCATACCACAGTCCCTTCTCCGTTTTCCTCTCAGGATTTTAGGCAAATGCTTACACACACTGGGTGTGAATTTCAAGCCTCTGGGTCTGGGACTTGAACCTTGGTAGGCCACGTGGGAGTCCAGTGTGCCACCTGTTGTTCCCTCTGCCCTTTCTTTTACCCAGTGATGAAGCAAGCACTTAGACCTGTTAACTGGTGATGAGCCAAGCTGGGATCTCTAACAGTGGGAAAGAATATTGGAGTACCAAGGCCCGACTACTGTTAGAGCTGGAACAAAGGTGTATGTGGGTGCCGCTAGTCTTCCTATCCTAAGACAAAGGCAGAGATAATACACAAGGAGAGTTAGGCTTTTAAAATGATCATTCATGGGGCTAGCAGGTGGCATGGTGGTTAAGGCTCTGTGCTCCTATATGGTCAATCGTGGTTCAAGTACCAGACCTGGCAGCTTGCTTTCTCACTTCCTCTCTCTGTCTTTGGTCAAATTTAAATAAATAAATTAATTAAACTAAATAGATAATTCTTTAAAAAACAAAATGACCATTTATTTAACAAAAATTGTACTGAGTGCAATAGACAGGTCTTTTACAATCTGGTTGCTGTCTTACTCACAGGCTTCTCCACTTCTACTCTCTCTCTTTTCCACTGCATAGTCTCTGTGCTGTAGCCATCCCTCATTGCTGATTGAATCATTACCATGCAGGTATTTTCTACCTCTGGATCTTGTTTCACTTATTTATTTACCCAGAGAACACGTACACTCTCCAGAGAGAGAGAGACAGAGGCAGAGGAGAGGGAGAAGATGAAAGCACCTCCCAGTGTGGGGTGATCACGCCACAAACCTCTTCTCTTTCCTTTCTCCATCCCATTGAGCATGCACACGCATGTGTCCAACGTGTTTTTAAAACCACTGGGGCCAGGACTCAGACTGCACTGTCAGCCACATGGGATCCAACCCCTTTAATGACCAGGCCGTGGGCGAGCCCAAATTTGTTAGACAGTGTTCTCTATGTCCAAAATGCTCTTCTTACCTTTTGCCGACTAGTTACCAAACTCTTACTAATTCTTTTCAGTGATGAATTATATCTTATCTCATGTTTCCTGACTTTTCCGAACAGAGTATTTTCTATACCGCCATAACATACCCACTATAGACTTCTGTCAGTGCATTTATTAATGCTATGGTATTGTAATTTTATTTATTTATTTTTGCTAATTTGCAAGCTTATTAAGGTTCGGAAACATGCATTCTTTATCTCGTGACTTTAAAGCTCAGCATGACTCTGGCATAGAGTAGGTGAAAATTAATACTTGTTGAGTAAATAATTGAGTAAATTTACCATGGATAAAGTGAGATCTTGATCCTCTGCTAATCATGTAGTTCTAGACAAGGAACTGGTCTTTCTATAAATAAATTTATATCTGTATTTGCTTAGTTATGGAGGTGCTTTGAGAATTCATCTGTATTAGTCAGAGTGGGCTACTGTAACAAAATAACACCGATTGGCTGTTTAAACAATAGACGTTTATTTTTCACACTTCTGGAAGTTGCTAAGTCTAACATCAAGGTGCTGACAGATTTGATTCACAGTGAAGGTCCTCTTCAGCTGGGTTGCAGAGGTCCACCTTCTTCTTGTATCCCACAGAAACAGGTAGCTCAGGGGACTCTTCTCATCTTATAAGGGGACTAATCTTATTGTGGAGTCTTCATTTTCATGCTCTTAACTATTACCGTATTTAGCCCAAAGGCCCTGTCTCCTAATACTGTCATGCTGAGGTTAGGGCTTCACAAATAACTTTGGAGTATACACAAACATATAGTTCATAAAACATCTTATAAGAAACAATTAATCTGGCTAAAGGATTTTCAAAAAATAAACTCCAACTATAGAGCCCATATGAGTGATCCATGAACTTTACCTTAACAATTACAATAAGGACATTATGATTATCCTCTTCTTTCCTGCTTTTCTTTCTTCCTTTTCTTTTTTTTTTTTTGGAGAGGTTTTTGCTATAGGGCGTGTGCGCTCGCCAGAAAGAGAGAGACAGAGAGACAGAAAGTGAGAAATCACCCCCCATGGGGGATGGCCATGCCGCAATCTCTTCTCCTCCATTCTCCTCTCGGGATCTTGGGAACACACGCACCTGGCATGAGTTTAAGCCACTGGGTCCGGGACTCGAACCATGGTCAACTACATGGGAGTCCAGTGACATAGCCATTATGCTAACTGCTGGTCCCTCCTGCTTTTCTTTCTATTTCATCTCTAATCGTTCTATTTGGGGTGCTTCTCATTGCAAAAGTTGAAGTTTCACTCGTTCCATTACTCACTGTATATCAAGGGAATCTGTCAGAATTTGGTTTCGTTTAAGAAACAAATGAACCTTTAGAAAGTACACATTAAGATGATTCAATAAAAGAAGAAAATAATTAACATTTAACTTCTGAGGAAGAGTTCTACATGGAGATCAGACTAACCTTGAGATAAGAGAGTAGAAATTCTCTCACCAAGTGAGTCCTAGGATGTTAGATGATTACTCACAGGCAGTCTATCTGAGAGGGAAAATGATATCTCTCCTTGAGCTGCTTCTATTTGAATGAAAATGACATTTTAATGAAAAATTTTATTTTTAAAATTATTTTTAAATAATAATTCATTTAATTTTATTTATTCATCCATTTATTTTAATTTGACCAGAGAGAGACAGAGAGAGAGAGAAAGAGAAGGAATGTGAGAAAGCAAGCCACCAAGTCTGGGAGTTGAACCCTGGTTGGCCATGTGTGAGTGTCCAGTGCCTTAACCACCAAGCCACTTGCTGGCCCCAATGACACATTTTATTAACAGAGGTTCTAGAAGAAACTGAGAGAGCAAGGCCAGCCTAAGGAAAGTTTTTATCCTTCACATTTCCCCACTGAATTGAAGAGAAGAATTCAAGAGCAAAGCTATAACCTACCTAAACTAACTTCTAGAGATATACTGGAAAGTAAAGTATACATTGTGAACACTTACTCTTTCTGTTCTTATTTTCCTTTTGCTGTTCTTTTTTCCTTTTTAAAAATCTACCTTTGATGTCATCTTACTGTGTGTGCACGTGTGTGTGTGTGTGTATGTGCTTGTGTGTATTAGGTATGTACAAGGGGACTTCAAAAGGCTCATGGAAACATAAAATTAAGGGGCCCGGCAGGTGGCGTGGTGGTTAAGGTGCTGGACACTCCCACATGGCCAACCATGGTTCAAGTCCTGGACCTGGTAACTTGCTTTCTCTCTCTCTCTATCTCTCTGTCTCTCTCTGGTCAAATTAAAAGAAATGAATTAATTAATAAAATTAATTAAAAATAAATAAATATTTAAAAAAAGAAACAT